AATCACAGTAAAACCAGCAAATCAACGAGCAGCATTAGCTGCTCCAAGACGCAACTCATTTACACAATTTTTTGGAACTCATCAATCGGCACAGAGTGCTATCACTGGTAATGATGAAGATGTAGATGAAATTCTAAATTTAACTAATGTACAAGATGATGCATCAAATAATTTTAATCATAATTAAGGTGTCTTGCATGAATGAATGTAATGAATGAAATTCTGTTTACATTGTCGTCATTACATTGTTCAATTGAATATTAATTCAGATATTTATCCAAGAAAAGAATTTAGAAAAAAAAATTTAACAACAATAAGAAATGAATATATTAAAATAGAATATGCAGTACTCTATGAAAATGAATAGAGAATGCAGTAAAGAAAGTTACTCTAAAGGTCTTCGAAATATGGTTTGTTTCCATATTCTATGAATCCTATGCATTTTTAAATTCAGATAACAATAGCTCACTTGGATAGTTTTCTTGCGAAAAATGCCGCCACTAAAATTCTTGTTTATTCAATTACAAAGTGAGTATAGAATTTATTCTACATATCTAAATGATCATATCTGTAATTATATTTGGATTATATTATACATGGATTGATAATGGATTTATATAAAACACTTAGGCTCAGAAAATTGATTTTCTTTTCGAATGAAATACAACATGCGAATTTCGGCGATCACATAATTCATCACTATTATGACAAAGGAGAAGCATATTAATTTTGAATTTGCTTAAATTAATCGACTTCTTCACTGTGTGCAGAGTTAAAAAAGATGTATTGGAATGTCTTAAAAGCGTTTATAGCACTGTTTGAAGAGAAGCTAATTTGTGGTAAATATTTAATTTATAATATATTATCATATAAATTCCTCTTTTGTTATATTTATAATATTCTTATTTGTAGATTATGTATTCGCAAAAAATTCATTTCTCAAATTATGGGAGATTTATCATAATTGGAAATCCATAAATGAAATAATTATATACTTGGATAATAATACACTTGGATAATAATACACATGGATAAGCCGTAGTCCATAGATGATGGAATTATTCTTAATTTAAAAATTGGAAAATGATGAATCAAAAGAATTATTAGCCATTATGCGGATGGAACTGTAAGATTCTGGAATGCATTTGATATTGTTCTATCTCTCTACAAGTACAATTCATCTAACTTATTTATTGGTGAGTGGATGTTCTTAAGCAACCACTTTGACAACCCTAGATTGTCTGTAAAATGTACGATTATACAACCATTTTGGATGTTCTTGTGCAATCACTGTACTTTGACAACCCTAGATTGGCTGTAAAATCTACAGTCATATAGCGATTTTACAGCCAATCTGGGGTCGTCAGAATACAGATTATCATCGAAATGCTGCAAAGGATTATGGACATATAAATTGCAAGTTTTTTTGTATAAAGTTTTTTTTATTGAGAAATAATAAAAAAACACACACGATTTCGAGATTAGCCTAACGTTTGATTTTTTTAAATATACCTTGATAAATCTCATATTTCTCAAAATTGAAAATTTATATAGGAGAATATTCTGGACTAATCCTCTATTGATAACTTCTAATTTAACTTGATAAGAATTCTTCCGGGTCTTTATGTGAATATTTAGTAAAAAAATTTAATTACTAATTTAATTACTAATTTTATTTGGCTCAATTAATTAATAGCGAATGAAAATGCCATCAGTTGCGAGAACTTTATTTCAAGAGAAGAGGGTGGCGTGATATTTTTAATTTTTAATAAAATATTGTTTTAAATTTATTGAAATTTCTATAGTTCGTAACATATTTTTGAAGAATATTATTTCACATTAATAATATAAAAATATTAAGTTTATCATTTCTTGAAATATATAACCGATTTTAGGATTGTATTTTATTACATGTATTTATATTTTTTTCGTAATCATCTATGGAACGGATATAAGATTATAAATTACTTTTTTAGAACAGAGATATCTTAAAAAATATTTTATGAGCGTAACAATTAATTGAATAAAGTGAAAGTAAGTATTCGATTACGAATTTTGGTAAGCCTGATAGAGGTCATTGTTCGTACGGGCGCTCCCTCGATTAAACTTCCGAGCCTGACCGAACGATGCCGAGCATGGTCGAACGTATACGAAACATGTGATTGGTGGAAAGACGACGCGACGACTTCACGCCTCTGTCGAGTATTTCAATGGTTTTACGTGTTCATTCCCGTTGTAAGTTTGACAGCAGGCTGGGTTATTGTTGCGACCTGTTGTTGAGAACGATTCTCGTGGCTGAGCCGAAAAAACATCACGGAACGTTGGTAAAAGACGCCTAGTGACTGACATATCGGCCAGGCAGATTGAATGTACACCTATATGAACGCCGACAAGAAATGTTGAAGTTTATCAGAGGGAAGGGCCAACAACCTACGACCGAGCGACAGAAATTACAAAAGGATCTTTTTGCGTTTCGAAAGGTAAGTTCCTACGATTCGAGGTTTTGTTCACACCTGACCCGGCAACACCTTTTTGCTTAGGTCATACTTTTATGAGACACTAAATTTCTTTTCCTCAGACTTATAAAGATGACTGGAATAGATTAGATTCGTCTTTAGTAACAAAACAAGTTACTATATATAGGATATCAGGCACGATTATGACTGAAAGCGAAGAATTTTGATGCATGGAGAAATAGATGTTTTGCACTTTTATTCGTTATAAAGAAAAGTGAGAGCGAACTTCAGGCAAATTCATTTTCATTTACACCTGAAGAGTATGGTTTCTGCTTTGCCTCCTTTTATTTGCTTACTTTTAAAACTATAAGAGAATATTGCAAATAGTTAAGGCATTTTTCTCTTTTTCTCAATACACTTTTTAGCATTCCAATTGAGAGAAAATAATGAATGTCGGAAAGGTTAATTTTATCAATCACCTATCACTTCTTAAAACCTCCCGATCTTTTTCCGGTTTCCGTTTTATTTATACATTCATTATTTATAAGCTTCGAATGCTGGGAGCAATTTTCTGGTTTTCGTTACTCTGGATTCTAGGAAGAGAAAGCGAAAACAGTTGAGGGTGTTATAAATCCCCTTCCACTGTGTCGTGGATTAGGAGACGGTTTGCGACATGTAGGATATACCGGCATTTTAATCGTCAGTGTGGCTAAACTTTGAAAGAATACCTTACTTTATTTCTTTTGTTTTTTTACTTACATAAGTCAACAGACTTACAATTGAAAGTTTATTCAGTTTTGTGATATCAAAAATTTTCAAAGTTCGTATAGGTTCGTAAATTTCACGATCGTTTGTTTCGAAACGAAATAGACATAACATACATATAACGTGCATATATATGTATGTTAATAATAAAAATCGCCGTAAAACCTGTAGAAAATTTCAGGATTGCTAAAATTATACAAGACTTCTCTTTTAATATTATGCACTGAAAGTAATGAAAGGAAAGGATTTGATACTTTTTACGAAATAGTTTTTAAGAGTTAAATATTTATATATCAAATTATCTATCATTCATATAGATTACGGGAACAGGTTTTCAGGATATATTATTTTTTCTATTACAAACATTTATTCAATTTTAATTCGTTCACTTTCAACTGGTTCTATCAAACTTAAACATCGAAATATATGAATAATCGGCATGTAAAGATAAAGAAAAGATGTTAAGTATTACAACTCAGTGAATTATATCATCAATCATGATAATATAATTCGTATATAATCTAAAAAAAACCTCTGAATTTATATTTGATAAAAGAAATCAGATGAATTTGTTATTAATTTCGGTTCATTGAGTACATGTTTAATGCGCGGCAAAACACATTATTGACATGAATGATATTTCAGAACGTTTAAACAGTGTTAAGATTCGTATTTTATAGGTAAATGATACGACAGTATATAAAAAACTTTCAATATTTGAAATTGTATTGCAATGACATGATATAAAGTAAAAGGTTAACCTAAAAAATTTGATTAATTTCGTTTCTTTGCCTTTCTTTCTTCTATGTATCTAATTATCGAATTTAATACTATTGTTTAGAAACCATTAGCTTTAAAAGGTTAGTTCTATGACGAAATATTAAGATTTTCAAATTGTCTTTATTGAAAAATATGAGACAACATGTTTTAAGAATGAACGATACAGAAATCGATACTGAAAGTCTAGAAGACGACGGGTAGTCGTAAGAGAGTTATTTAATATTGGTCAACGAAAGTCAAGTATAGTGCAAAAAGTTCGAATTATTGTGGTTGTATGTGCGGTGTGATGAGTTCTTTCAGCGGTTCTGTCACGGCTGGTTGTCATCGTCGCCAGCCATCGGGTACACCGTCGCAACATTTTACTAAAGGTTAATTTCTTCACTTGCCGGATTTAAAATTTAACCACATGAATTGCGAAAACAGTGGCTCGAGTGTAATCAGGTCATACTGGTTCCGATCAATTCATCAAAATACGATGCAACCTTCATAATGACGTTATAACTGTGGGCTTACATATAAAGGTGAAGATATATCGATTGCATATCGATTATTATCGATGAACTTTGTTATCGAAAATTATCGATGCCTTTTAAACTTAAAAAATATCATTTAACCCTACTGTAAAATGAAATATTTTAAAGTATTTTGTAATCAAAAAGTTTACAATACATAAAAGATAATAATTAGATAATAGAATTAAATACTTAAAAACTACATTTTAATAATATTTATTGAAATATAATAATAATTTCGAGTCTTATTGAGTCGAGGAAAACTATTGAGGTTATACTTAACTAAGCTTTCGTTGACCAATATTAAATAACTCTCTTACGATATAATAAAGATATAAACATGACATATTCTAATAAAAATTGAAGTGTCTATATCACGTTCTTATATTCCTAAATACACAGTTACAACTGAAATTGTATACCTTGTGTTTCCCTCATTCTGTTGTTTTTCATATAATGAAATAAATATAATGAATGAATCTATGTAGACAATAAACACATTCCACAAGTTTAAACGTCTACTTACGTATACGTTACTTTCATTCAGTTAGAAAATGAAATAGGAAATATAGGTTAATTTATGAGTTAAGCAATTGCAAGCAGAAGTAATGTACTCTGCACGAGTTGAAAAAAAAGTAGAAAGCCTGCATCGAGAATGCCTGTTACTTTAATTAAAACGATCACATTTACGCAAACTCGGCGTTTACAGTACAATTTGATTCGATTTAAAACTCAAAGAACATCTGGTTCCATTACATCACTGAATGATATTTTATCGCTTAATCGGAGAAAAGGCGTGGGACGACAAAGATTAAAAAATAATCACCTTAGAATCTTCACCTTTAGAAACTGACAAATGTTTATGGAAGGAAAGGAAGAAAATTTTATTTTAAATTTTTATATAAGATAATTAAACGTATTAAAATGGTATTTATTAATTATATCAATCTTATCACGATGTTATTTCAAGCAAACAGCATTTAGTCTGTAACATCAATTCTATCAATAATTGCAAGCAGTCCTTGTAAAAAAAAAGAGATATGAGAAAAGATATTATCGGTTTTGCAAACAAACGTATGATAAAAAGTGCCTAGCTCTTTTTACGTTTGCTTTAACATACGCGGAAGAACGTATCGTTAGATTCAATTGGCTTAGTCAATTAGGTATGAATTGATGTATGCGAATTATTTCGTGATTTTAATGTAAATGAGTAGTGAAAGATGAGTGATTAAGTAAATATATTAAATATTATTAATATATTTGTATATTAATAATAATAAATAATAAATAATACTTAATATATCAAATATATAATTTATTTTAAATTTAATAATGTTTTGTCATAAGCATGACAAATATTTTTTATTTAACAATGTATAATAAATATTCCTCATAGATAATTTAAATAGTACGTAAAAATATTCTTGTAAAATATGTTATATTTATTTGGCTATTAAACACGAGATAAGTATGGATTTCTATAGTGTTCTAAATATTCTAGTAAAGTATACTACGTATACTAACGTGAGCTATTTACGTTGAAGAAATGTCACATCAGGTCATCGATCGAATAATAACTTTTGATCGAAGAATAAAATTAGACCGAGTTATTATTTAAAGTTTCTTTCCTTAAAAAGAATTGTTCCTTAAAAAGTTTTCAATTATTGGCAAAATCTCCATACTTTTGCAATATCTGGAATTCCGAAACAAATCTAACTTAATCCGAAATTTTCAAAATATACAGGATTCAAAAGCTCGATTCATAAAGAAATTAATATTTCGTTTATGTAACTTCGACTAAGATTAAGGTTTATTCATTTGGATTAAAATTTAGGAAGGAATAAGTATTAATACTTTAATACCTTAATTATTAATTAATTATTAATACTTTTTAATATCTTAAAAGTATATTTATCTTGGATCCTATTGACGCATGTTCTTTCAAAATTGTTTCTCATAGAAATTAGCTCGGTCAAGATTTTACTCTCGCTTTTTTCTATATTTATGAACACTATTGTGTATTGTGACCTATGATACTAAAAATCTTGGGATTCAGGTAGAAAATATCCTTACATTTTCTACACATCGCTGCGCACATCAGTTGAAATATCAATTAGAGTTATAATATCATTGCAATATCATTAAATGAAAATTTATTTTATGCCTAATTTAGCAAGGGTCCTTTTCCATTATAATAATGTGCAATGAAATAATGTATAGTATAATTTATAATCTCAGAAGGTTAGGAAGCATGATTTGTAGTTACAAGTATCGATAAACCACCAGTTCTGAGATTTTATTATTGTTAATCCAAGAGTTGATGCATTAATCATTGATTGAAATTGTGCTTTGGGTGGAAAGCATATGTATACCGATAAGAAAGAACATCATTTTGTCGTGTTTATCCTTCGGAAGTAAGGGAAAATTACTCGAATCTCACTCGATAAAATTCCCTTATCGAAAATAACAGGGACAATTAAGAGATTATTTTCGAGTGTGTCACCCTGTACGAGAGAATGTACATTGTTACAATGTATATCATAGAAATATGTTTCGATTACTAATCGTAAAAGATAGGTGAGTACAGGCACGGTCTATAAAATCTGATTCTTCGATGAATAATCGGCACGTCTCTAATTGTCAGTCAAAAATTGATGCCGTGTGGTACAAGTTACGTTGAGAAAGTCGGAAATGAGCGTTGAGTATAATTGGCGTTAATTACATTGAAAACGAGTCACGAAGAAGGGAGTACTAACGCCGCGTCGTTGTTTCCTTTAATTGAGCTTGCCTCATGTTTAATTACTATGCCAGAATCCATGTTTTTTTTTTTTCTTTTTTAATTTTCATTTTAATCACTTAATCGTTACGAGTGAACTCTTTGCATTACTTCGTATTACCTTTTTAGCTAATTGTTGTATCTATGATATGTTTTTCTTTTTTTCTTCTCCTGCTTTCTTTTCTGATTTTATCATACGAAGTATAGAAGCCTGGATGTTTTATACTTAAAACGCTTTAACAGATTTATAATATATCCTCTCCCTTCGACTTCTCTTCTTCTGTCATCACTTTCGCACGCGGTTATGACTTTAAAAGTCGATAAAATGATTAAGGCTAGTAAAAGAATCGGATTGTAAGTAGATAAAAGATTAATAATTCTAGGTTAATAATTAATTAACTGTGCGACGAAATGGAAATGGAAAAGTTCAATCCTTAACTAAGATAATTTGCTTAATTTTTTTTTTATTGAAGAAATGTTTTAACTGGAAAGAGAAACTTCGAACTGTGTTTCTTGCAGGTGATTGAACTTAATTCATTCGACTTGCATGCAAGTTTCAAATAAATTGATATCGAGGATCAAACTACATATTATCCCAGAATGTGCGTGTGTATCATTGATAGTGCAGATAACGTACATTATTTTTAGCGAATTTCTCGTATAAATAGTCTACTGATTACGGCGGACAGGGTACAAATATTATGACGAATGATCAGACAAAATAACTGAGCCAAATTATAAATCTAACATCCAGATGACTTGCAATTAATCCATTAAGTAAAACGAAGCTTTCACAGAAGTTTCAAGAAGTTTTTAATGTAACACTCTATGTAATACTCATTTTTTAATTACTTATAAATAAAGAACAAGAAAATCTATAAGTCTTTTATAAAAATGTCAAAAGATCTTTTCTAAAAATATGAGGATGGAGTGGTGGAATTAAAATAAAGAAGCAGTAGATTTCCGATTGTATATTTGCCTTATTCTAACATATAATTATCAGAATTATTCATTCGATTCGCATATAATTAAGGAGAAAACAGCTACATCAAGCCTTACCTATTCGTTATTTAATTTATCCTCTTCTTGCAGACAGTGCAGCATGGGTTCCCAAATAAACCCACAGCCCTTGCATGGGATCCGAGTTTGCGACTGATGATCATTGGCACAGCATCCGGCGCTATCAAGGTGTATCCTTTTTATTCTTGTCGCTCCTTTACGTTCGACTAAGTTCGCCTCTTTCTTTCTGTTTCTTTTAATATTTACAATCTGACTACAAGACGTCGTCTTCTTGTACTCAATGATGCTTCAGGAAAATGCGGACGTGATTGATGCGCCAGATCTCTTTCTCTTTCCATCATGAATACTAATTTTAGATACACAATACTCGGGATATTCTGTGGTCCCATTAAAACTATTCCTTGATTTTTACGAAAGCCACGACTTTCGTTCAGAAAATTGACTTTCTTTCATTTCGGTTAAAAATTGTTAAACCGCATTTGGATCGAGTGATAGACTTCCATCTCTGATACAAGGTTTTAGAGGGTTTTCTTGTTGGATGCGACGGGATTGAATTTGGAGCTAAGTCGCTGGTGGACATCGGATGTGAAAGTATGGCAGTAACAGAGAGTCGTGCATAGGAATATAAAATAGCGAAGATTATAGCAGTGTGTTGAAATGTCACGCTTTGCATTACATGTATTATAGGTAAAACGTGAAATTTTAGTGCTTTGACAAAATTGATCACTTCTTTATGTTAATGAATCATATATTATTTATAATAAATATAAATAGTATGTCAATAGAAACTAGGAATGATACTATTATTATATATATAGAGATGGAAAGTAATGAAATGCGAGATTATTCTTAGAGATAGAAATTAGTGAAAGGAGTTTACATTGCATTATATGTTGAAGTCTCTTAGTGGAAGAAAAAAATCGATGAGGATATACATTTGAAAGTATAATCAGGGAGTTCGCTCGTATCATTTTCTAGAAATCACGAATCTTCCGTTAGTCTTTTCATCGTCGTTACAATAACATATAAAACTCGTAACAAGTAAAACTACTATTTCTCCTGATGTCTCGTTGATCACTATATCACAGAGACATTAAATCATATTTGAAACATGTACAATGTTCAACAAAAAATTATACAAACATTTTTTGAAAGCATGCCAAATGAACGTTTGGACATTTGTAGATGGATTTAGTAGTGTAGATACTTTTATTACCTTGTTATCCAATTCGTGCCAGTTCGATTATCTAATTCTGATCTTGAGGACAACTTAGATTTACTCGAAATATTTTACGATATTTTATCGAAATAATATTCATTTATCTGTACTTAGGAGCTTGATATTTTATGCTTTGATGTACTCAGTTCGATTACGTACGAGTTACTTTATTCGTATCTCGATGGTAGATGTTCTACGAATGGCTACGTAATCAGTGTATAATCATTATTATTTCGCAAGACGGATAATAGATATCTTCACCATCTCCGACGGAAATCCTATTTGCAATTGATATTAGAGAGGTACGAATTGCAAATCACTTATAAATTGTTTATAAAGTTCGATTCTCCCGTCTCGGTTTTATTCCGAGATAGTTTATAAGTTCGATAACAGGCGTGTCTAATCGATGATGCAAGAAATTACTCGCTTCAAATAGACCTGTTACACGATCTATCTCGAGAATTGAAGTAGAATATGAAATACATAGAATTATGAAGTTTTTATACAATTAATCAAATTGAGTACCCGTTGAATCAGTTATTTTCGAAACAAGATCGTTGTTTGTTTGTTGGATAAATACGATGACGGTTTACTGTTCGAAATAAAACTATCTAATTTTCCTTGACTGACGCACGATTACAGGTTTGGTAGACCAGGTGTGGAATTCTATGGACAACACACCATCGAAAGCGGAGAGAATGCTGTCACAAAGATCATTGCTCTGCCCAATGAAGTAAGTACCATTATTGCTACTGCTTCTTTTAAATATATTCTTGATATCAGGTATCATAGCACGCTTAACACGTGTGATCAGTTATTTTCAGAATTGTTTTAATACAAAAAGGTTTAATTTTTAACTTCACATACATATAGTTTGATTAATTATAACAAGCATATGATTACAACACTCATACAATTCTATAACTTACTAATTGCGTAAACATAATTATAAATCTATATTTACTGTTCAACAATATATTAAATTATTAAATGATTTATATTCAAACATCATAGTCTTGCGATTTTAATCTTTTTGTGAGAATTGATCACCAGATTCAGTTTTCAATTAATTGGAGTAGGAAAAATGTTAAATAATAAAGGATAAATTTGATGGAGTAGAAATGAATAAATCGCTGTAAGGATTTAATTCGTGTAAATTATACTAAATTAAAATATGTAATAGTGTATGAAACGAATGCCAGCTGACGTATCATTCTAGTTCGGATTTCTTAATGACCATGCTAATAGTTCCTAAATCTTCTAAAGATGTTATCTCCTAATGAGAAATTCTAAAAATTTTCGTTTTGAACTTCAATTATTTCTAGTTTATGTTTACTAATTACTTTAGTGTTATCATTCCAATATCTAAAAATACTGGAGTAATACTTTCGAAAATAGTATCTATTATAGAAATTTTACACGCAATATAACATACGAGAGAAATATAAAAAAAGATCAATTCTAATTGATTTTTTGATTTTTTCGTCATTTAAATAATTTCCTAAAATACATTTTATAATTATAATCGTATAAGTGGATAATTAATAAGAGGAATAGAAGGTTAATAAGATGCAAAAACATACATCATATTTAATAATAAAATAAATTTGTTACTGCATTATTTATCACATAGCTTTTTCTCAAGAAACTCTAAAAGTAAATATTTTTTGACATAATTATGTATTTTTTATTACACCGAAAGACCAAAGATCAAATGTTAATTTCTTGATTCAAGATATTGGATATTTTTTTGGTAAATTTGACGAAAGGAAGAGAAATATTGCACGGTATACGTCGAAGGAACGGAGCTTAATACCGGTTCTGCGCACGATAGTACATAATATCTTTTACGTACATTGTAATCGAAAGGACTAGACGGAGGTGTGAAGTTATGGTTGTTTTTAGTCACATGCATTGCACCGGTAATGCGATACCGTGTTCGGCTTATACGGCGATAGTTGCATAACTGTGTGTGTGACAAGCGCAATGCGCTTTGCACGTGTGTACGAATAAATAATATATGAACACTATTGTTGTTCCATAAAGGTCGTACATCGTTCGTATCGCTTTTCTTGTGTTCTTCCCCCCTGAGAGACAAACTGAGGAAATTTCGTTGTGAAATTTATTCAATAATGACGAAACCTCTAAATTCTCGACGCAATGATAGCTATTAGTTTTTGCAATATTATCACATATAAAATATATGGTAGAATATAGTGAGTTATATATATAGTAAAAAATGTACGAACACGTTGTTTGTTATGAGTCATGAAATCTCGTTATCATTTTTCAAGGGGATCCTAAAATCGATAAGATAGCGGCTGTACGATTGCAAAGTGATCGCTAAGTATTTTGAATCCTTTATTTCTTTCACGTAATGAAATAAAAAATATAATAACACTGTATTAATTTAATACCATCTTTTGTCAAAATATGTCTTTTATTAAAATATGTAAGTCGAATCGTTTGAATTCAAGTTTAATTGTTTTATTATTTCGATTAAAAAAAAAAAAAAAAAAAAAAAAAAAAAACTTCGTCAGCAATAAATATCGATTTAATTAACTATCGTGTGAGCATTCGCCCGGTTTTCAATCACTTGTTATCTATGCAAATTCCATTCTCTATCTTCTAATTCATTTTGATATTTCACACATCAGATTACCGCAATTGGAATTCAACTTCATTGGAATTTCAAATCAATTTCAAATTAAAAAATTGATCAAACACGGAAGAACAAGTGTTGGAAACAGTATAAAATGCAGCACAACCCGTTTGGAGTTTGTGTGAATGTGTATAATGAACGAGTAGGCGATCCCACTTATTCAATTAAACATGTTAATAATAGGTGGAAAGAGCATTGCTCTGTTTATGAAAAATACGAGTTAGCAATACACTGTAGATTTATATGAAAATATGAAGTGCGATGTAACTATTTTAACCTTGTATTTTCTTCAAGTTTTCACTTTGCTCATTACAAACAAGTCATCTTCTTTGTGAGTAGGGGGAAAAAACGCGGGAAATTTTTTTAAATTTCGATATGTATCGAATTGACAAATCAAATTCGACGAGAAACCAACATTCGATGTTATTCATTCAAAATGAATGCAATTAGTTATAGTAATCTCTATGTTTAATTTGGAAATAAATCAGTGATGGAATGAGTTCGTTTGTTACAAATGCAACAGGGTCGTCTGGTTTCTCTTTGCGATGACAATTCGCTTCACCTGTGGGAAATCAATGAAAGTTCGGTCGTGGAGACCAAGACGCTATCATTGGAGGGTAAGTTGAAGAAAATCTCCGCTATGTGCCTGGAATCGAGCGGCGAACATCTTCTTCTGGGAACAGAAGGTGGGAACATCTATCTTCTCAATTTGAAAACATTCATGATGCCTGACAATATCATTTACCAGGATGTCGTGATGCAAAAGTAAGAGCAATTCATTTTATATTTTAAAGTCTGCATGCTGGATGCATCCTGTGGCAACTGAAAACACAATCACATATTTCAGAAGACAAATTGATCAATTCTATCTTTTATACAAGTACCAATTTCATATTATCGAGATATATAATTAATACTTAATTAATATATGATTAATATTTAACATCTCAGAAAAGAAATCTTATTTTCATAAATATATAATATATAATATTCAAAATTATAATATATAATTAATATTTAACATCTCAGGAAAGAAATTTTATTTTCATAAATTTGTTCATCAGAAAGAGAAATAGTATGAAAATTATAAATATGTACTTAAGATCAGGATAACTGATTTGTAATTTTTGAAGCTTGATTTGTTCATGAACATTATGTATTTTTTTGATACATTTTTTATTTTATGCGGGAATCTTCTTGGTAGTTTTCAAGTTCAAGATTCAGTTGTTGATAGTTTTGATATGATGAACATAAATTTCTTGGAACAAATACTATTATATCCAAAACACTATCATCAACGAATAGTCCTAAATTCGCAAGATTTTAACGAGAATTGACTTTTGCAAAATAATAAGTTTCCCAAATAAAATCATGTGAATTTTGATGCCTCTTTTTCAATTAACTTTCAATCATAAGACAAAATGTTTGATCGTTGATCAGGAGGAAATTGAAATAATTAGATTCACGTGTCCGTAACTTATCGATATTTTATGACAGCGTGCCAGATGATTACAAGAAGAATCCAGGAGCGGTTGAAGCGATAGCGGAACAACCAGGTCATCCAGACAATATTCTGATAGGTTACAATCGTGGTTTAATGGTTTTGTGGAACAAAGCGACTCCAGGAGCTCAACAGGTGAGCCTTCATCATTACTATTTTGTATCTTTCTTTATACGCATACTATGCATACAAGACTATAGTGTGGCAGATGTAATGACACGCTTACAGAACAATTCCAACATACTTGCTTACTACATTTGTGGGGTAATCCTTAATCCATCGGTACACAGAGATACATTCAGCTCAGATCCCTCGCAAAAGCGAGTAATATATTTCTAGATTAATTTTATTCGATTTTCTCAATTAATATATTAATAATACTTACATTCGAATGTGTTCAATCGTGCTGTGATTTTTATTTCTGCGAACGAAAACTTTCGTCAATAAGAATATTTACATATTTTGTTGCAATATGAGATATTTTTTAATGATGAAGTTCAACTGGACGGGAAAACGACGGGGGAAAAAAGCGCAGCAGGATTAAGAACATTGATGAATCGTGTATCTAAATAACTGACAAATATAGAATGAGTGATATCCTTCTTAAGATTGAGTAATATTTGAAAACATTGAATTTGAAATGGGATATTGCACCGATGAGTTAAGTACGTATTGTGAGGTGATACTGCTCGTTCTGATTGTTGTTTGTGTCTTTGGTGGTTTTGGCGAACGTGTACGTGCAGCTGATGGGTTTGTTTTCGCGTACGCAGACATTCGTCTCCACGCAACAGCTGGAATCTGTCCATTGGGTTTCCGAGACCCGATTTGTTTCTTCCCACAATGATGGATCCTATGCATTTTGGAGTCCAGGCAGTGATAACATGCTAGAGTCGACTACACCTTATGGACCGTTTCCCTGTAAAGCTGTGACTAAAATTCTTGTTTATTCAACAGCCGAGTAAGCATAGGATTCTCTTTTGATTTACATAACTGTTGTAGTCTGTAAATGTGTGTGGATTGTACAATACTTGAATTGCTAATGAATCACTTTACAGGCTGGGCGAACTCATTTTATTTTCGGGTGGAATGCAACGTGCGAGTTATGGCGATCGCCACACAATCACTGTTATGGCGAAGGGGAAACATGTTGTTTTTGATTTCACGTCAAAAGTAATCGACTTCTTTACTGTGTTTCCTAAGCAACAGGATGGAAAAGATCCACCCGATAGTCCAGAAACGCTTATAGTATTGGCCGAAGAAGAGATAGTAGCCATTGATTTGACTGATCCTGACTGGAAAATGATGGCGTTACCCTATCTAGTATCTCTTCATGCAAGTGCGGTAGATATTCAGTTTATAATATAACATATATAATTACAAGTATTCCTTTCTTTTATTATGTTTGTAATGTCCTCATTTACAGGTCACATGTTCACAACACGTTTCCAATGTTCCTGAAGAGTTATGGAAAATTATTATCGCAGCTGGAAAGGCACAAACAGAACATCTATACTCGGATAAACCATGGCCTATAGACGGTGGAATTATTCTTAATCAAAAATCAGAGAACAATAAATCAAAAGAATTGTTACTTACTGGCCATGAGGATGGGACCGTTAGATTCTGGAATGCAACTGATGTTGTTCTAACGCTTCTCTATAAGTTCAATACATCTGTTTTGTTTACTGGCGAACATCTGGATGTTCTTGAACAATCTCCGGAAGATGACGAGAACGAATGGCCGCCATTTAGAAAACTTGGAACTTTTGATCCATTTTCAGACGATCCGAGATTAGGTGTAAATAAAGTGTTATTTTGTCCGCTATCGTCAAAATTAATAGTTGCCGGTACAGCTGGTCACGTAATTATAGCTTCTTTATCAGCGACACCTAAAACAAAGCAAATTAAACCCATCACGATGAACATCGTAAACGATCGTGACGAATTTGTGTGGAAAGGACATGATCATCTTCCGGCAAGAACAACTGACATAGCTTTTGGAATCGGTTTTCAACCACAAAATCTTATTCAGTTATATCCGCCGGCTGCGGTTACTGCATTGGCCATATATAGTGAATGGGAACTATTTGCTGTAGGAACGGCTCATGGTTTAGCCGTTTTCGACTATATGAGAGTAAAGCCTGTTACCGTGAAATGTACACTGAATCCAAATGGTAATTATACATATATTTTTTTATATTAAGTATATAATATAAAACCGTCAATATATTTGTAAAGAAGATTAATTAATTAATTAACTCACTATACTATTTCAGATCTTTCCGGCGCAGGTGATACACCGATCTGTAGAAGAAAATCATTCAAGAAATCCTTAAGGGAATCTTTTAGAAGATTAAGAAGATCACAACGTCGAACAAATGTCACTAGTCCAACTAGAAACACGGCATCTGAAAAAAAGAAAGAAACGTGAGTCCTTTTTTTTGTAAGTTTGTTGAAATATAATTAATATTAAACGATTGATTTTTAATTTTTAAAGACCCAGTATTGCTTCTTCTCCAAGTGGTGATCTTTCACCAGTGGAATTAAAGCCTGTGGAAAGACAAGTGGAAGCAAGACCTGTAGACGATGCATTGGGATCAATGGTTCGATGTTTATATTTTGCTAAAAGTTATATTATAAGCAGTAAGTATATTTAATAAATTTTTATTGTATGTACATTGATATTTGTTGTATATACATGAATATTTTCTTGATATTTTCTTTATTTTAGTGCAAAATACAACGCCTACACTTTGGGCAGGTACGAATAATGGTACAGTTTATGTTTTCACATTGGCCATTCCTGCTGACGGTAAAAGACTAGACGAGGACGTAAATTGTACATTAGGAAAAGAAATTCATTTAAAGCACAGAGCACCTGTAATTGGAATTACAATTCTCGATGGATCTAACATACCGTTGCCAGAACCATTTGAAGTCATGCAAGGCCTAAGTCTTGGTCCTAATGTGATTTCTCCACATAAAGTTGTAATTGCTAGCGAAGAACAATTCAAAATTTTCAATCTTCCATCCTTAAAACCATATTGTAAATATAAACTTACCGCACACGAGGGTTCACGAGTAAGAAAAACAGGTTTTGCAAAATTCACGTGTTCAATGGATTCTGCAGGAACACATGAAGAAACTTGTTTACTATGCTTGACTAATCTTGGTGACTGTTTAGTGCTTAGTATTCCCGAATTAAGAAGACAACTTAATGCCGCTGCCATTAAGAAGGAAGACATTAAGTATATATCTACTATCTTAAAATTTAAATTTTTATGCTCAATTATTATCATCTTATTTTTTTGTTTTTCTAGTGGAATTTCTTCATTGACATTTACGAAAGTTGGCGAAGCGTTATATTTGCATTCAAGTTCGGAATTGCAGCGAATTTCATTGTCAGCCAACAGAGTGACAAAAGCACATTGTGCGTTAAATTTACCACCAAACGCTAGATCATTTCCAGAAGCTAACAATGAAGAAACTCAAAAGCAAGATGTGACCGAAAATACAACGGTAGAAACGGAAAATGAAGCAACACAAGGAAGTCAACCAGCTCCAGTACAAAGGATAATTACAGAGAATGGTGTAATTGGTTCTAGTGAGTATATTGTAACATCTTTACAAACTTTCTAATTTGTCTTTAATATATATTGGATAATCATTAAATTATATGTCATTATTGAACATGCTAATATTAAATATATGTAATCGCTTAGCCTCAAATATTTATTATGTATATTTAAATGTTGCTTTGCTATAATTACTTTTCACGAAACGAGCTAAATTGTATTTTATGCTGATTAACATCATCAAGAAATGCTACGCCTAACTTTTTAGTATCGATCCTTGAATACATCTATTTTAGCCGGTGGTGAAGAATCTCCTGCAGCAAGTACCAATGATGTAAATGGAGAAGACGATCGTCAAGACTTAAATTCTATTGGAGATATAACGATCGATAGCGTGAAGGATCATTTACTGTAAGTGAATGTGTTGCTTTTTATTGTTTTATTTCACATGCTTCTTTTGCTCATCTGTTTACGATTAATTTTATGATGATAAGAATGCAATTTGAAAGTTACTTAAGAAAAACAGACTTAATTTGACAAACTTTAATAATAAGTTTGTTGTGCTAATTTAATGTGTTTTCTATACTTGCCACTTGCTTGGCAGTAATAGTTCACTTTTCAGAAATGCAACGTCTTCCGAAGAACTTCATAGTCGTCTTGCAGGACTTAAAATGGAGGTGACTTCACGAACTTCGGAAATATCTACTCAAAATCAGTCCCTAGTTGTAAAGACCACAACTGTCGTTTCACAAACAACCAACAGTACTACTGCTAATGGGGAGATTGAAACAAATCAAATAAATGAAACACAACAAATGAACAGTGAGTGAAATCATTGCTAATTCAAATGAATATGAATTATAAATTAACCAAGTGACGAATAATTAATTTGATTTTTAATGATTTATTGTATTCCTTTTTAAATAGATATTTTTTAGGTCGTCCATTGTTACAGTATTTGAAGACTGTAAATAATTATATTCTTAATAATTTCACACATTGCATAAATCATCAATTGCTTAATATTTTATATTTGTGTTTCGTCGCTTTGTGATTTTTGTTCCATTTTTTTTTTTTTTTTTTTTTTTTTTTTGATACTATTCATACTTTTTTGTCACTGTTTTGTTTTGTGCTATTTGTTCTTGCGCAGGCACTACGGTAGAAAGAGAGATACGCAGCGGTACTGAGACTACAATGACACATGCTACCATTACTCTACCACCAAATGTCGAGGTTAGCAAACGGCACTAAATGTATTGTGATAATTGGTGTCGGACCTTACCTCGATATTAATACGTTCATTACTACAAAAAATTGGAGCAATTAGATTATGTTTGGTTTCTTGTACCTTTATATAGTATATTTTACAATATGATATACTTTTATTATGTTTAACAACTATCTAAACTATCTAAACTAGTACCAGATATATACTGGTAGAGAACGTATTAAATCTGTACTTTGGGACAAATTAATGAAATATTTTGAATTTTTGGTGTTCTTCAAAAATTTTATAAACTTTCGTATAAAAATTATCTTTTGCTATTATTATTTAATATTATTTTCTAAGAATTTCAACTTAGTTTTTATAAAAATCAGGTTCATAATATTCTTTCAAGTTTTATTTATTTGAAGTAACTATTGTGTTTGAAGTAACAGAACTTACAAGCAACTAGATTTGAAGAACACTGCAAATTCAGGCATATGCTATTATTTTATCATGAAATATATAATTAACGCTTAGCATTGTACGTTTTTAAGCTAACACGATTTGTGTAATAGTTTGATTAAAAATTTGTTTATTGATTTTTAAATTGTGGATATATTTCGTAACGTAGCGTTATTTAATTTATTAATGTATTAACAACTCTAAGACTTTATCTAATTAGCTGATGCAGAATATCGTTCAAATGAAACAAAATACAAATATATAATACAATTATTTTCGATATTGCAGATTAGTACAGCTGACTTGGCAAATTTGGAGATAACAACAACTACAGTGACTACTGAAAAATCGAAAGCTCCATTAGCAAGGCCTGAAGAAATCGGATCTTAGGAATATTTCAAATTGCCCTATGCCCTACTTCCTGATCTTATGTTCTGTACGCAACAATTAGATTTTTTGTTACTTACTGGACTCACACAGCGACGATAGATAGAATTTATATATCGTAGATTTTTTAAAAAATCTAGATTTACACGCGGCATTAACATTAGCTCTAAATTATAAGCAAATGAATTTCGACGATTGCAGCGACGAAACATTTGAGATATATTAACTGCCAAGATTGTCGATATATTTTACATTTTAACCGAACATTCTCACTGCATTTCTTTTAATAATCAATTTTATAATTAAAATTTTTGATGGTTTACTGAAACTTGGCCTAGATAATTTTAATAAAATGCATTTTATTTACAGATAAAAGTGTAACAAATTTTCAAGAAAAAAATTAAAATGTTTCATATTGTTTCGTTTGTAGATCATCCTGTTAAAACATCGTTTTATCAAATACAATAAACTTTTTATTGATATAGCTTTAAGAGAAAATTGAGAAAAATTTATACGATTCATCTTTTATGCTACGTAACTAAACATAATTTAAAAATTTGTACAAGGAAGATACATCACAAATCGAGAATATGGCAGCCTTGTAACGAATATATTGTGTTACATCAATTTCTAAATAATAAAATTAATAAAAAGGCGATTCTTTATCTATATAATATTTCAAATATTATATAGATGCATTGTGACATCAGATAAAGAAATAAGCAAAGAAAGAAAATTACTTAAGTAGAATATGAATGTATAAGTCGCAAAGATTAAACGAGGGAAATCACCAATGGCCATAATACAAATCCCGTGATGGATATATTTTTTACCAATATTGTTAATTTAAAAAATTGTTTTTTCTTTGTTAGAAATGATCATGAGTTCTGAATTATATGAAAAAAGAAATGTAATAGTGTTTTAATATTGTTATGATACCTAATATATCTCGTCTATGCTATTGGTCAATGGCAATATATATATCTATCCTTATCTCGTTATAGTCCGTCGAGTCATCTGTCAGACAGCTAGAACTAAAGTGCATTTACGACTCAGAATAGTATAGAAGCTGCTATCTATTGGAGATAGTTGGAATTGAATTACCGACAGAATTTTATTACCAACTTCAGACAATATAGACTTCTGCTCTCGGTATGCTATTGTATCCGCAGGACAAGATGTACAGCAAGAATGGCAATATACATTAATTGCGTCGTTTCATCGCAACATGACGTTAGTGTTTTCTTTCCAAAGCATCCAAATTTCTGTTTATAAAAGACAGCAATAAAAGGTATTTGAAGATGATCGAATATCTTAGGAAAGTAGATGAAAAATAAAATAAGAGAAACTGGATAAATAGTACAATGAAATTACAGTGTAGAAGTACCATACGAAGTGTCATATATGAAAGAATCAACAGTATTGTTTTATTGTCAATTGACCATTTGAATTTTATTTACTTGATTACTGCTTACATTGTTATATTTTTGAAATTATTTTTATCAATTGTTTTATCTACAAAGATTTGTAAGTATTCATTATCATATTTGCTTAATTTAATATTTGTCTAAATACTAAAAAATTTTAACTTTTTTTGTCTTTTATTCTTTATAAATTTATGGATATAGATTTTATGGTAATATAGAATTTATAATATCTGAGGAATATTTTATGGTTTCAGTATTTAATATGTTTAAACATTTTGTGTGATGAATGTTAACACATATTTCATTGTTTATTTCCAGGATATTTTATCGAAGCAAATTTGAAAAAAATTATGTCTTTATTAACTGATGCATCTCCAAACAATCTAAATTATAATTATGATAATATATTAAACAAAGACATTTTATGGAGGATAGAAAATGACCTTGACATTGATGAAAAAATGTCTGTCTTATTTTTGATGATAGATGATTATGAGCATAGCTTTCAAGAAATTTATGATTTGTTACAAAAATTTAAAGAAGACCAAGCTTTTATACTCACAGAATTTGTAAATATACATCCTAATAATTGGGAAAATAAATTATTAGAAGCTATATGTGTGATAAATAATCGACAAATTATACGGAAATTAGGAATATCATTCGAAAGTTTCAGTTTATTTTATATGCCAAAGATCAGATCATATTCCAGATACATAAACTTAGTTGCAAAATGTTTATATTTATTATGTGAAGCTCTTTGTGAAGATAAAACTAAGTTGTTATTGCAATATATTCAAACTGATTTAACTCCATATGAGGAAAATTTAAAAAATATAGATTTTCTTGAAGTACATATGTTATATTGGATGAAAGAAAATTATATTTCAATATATCCAGGTTTGTCCTTTTTTATTTGTTCTGTACCATTTTATATAATTTTTTGTTTACATTGTATCGTTCACAATGGATAATCATCTTAGATGGAACTGCCAAACTTAAAAATTTGCTTAAACATTTAAAGACTTTTGAAGATTTGGAGCTCATTTGTGAAGATTTAAAGAAACATGAAAATCATCAAAATGTGTTGGATACACAACATTCTATTAATACATCTCATGTACGAATGTCTTTCATGGAAGAATCACCAATACTGTCAGAAGTGGAAGAAAATGATATAAGAAAACTAAACAGTGGTCTTTGTATTATTATAAGTCAAATGTTTTTTGAAGATCGAAAGGTATCATATTAAATAAATATAAATATATTTTTTTAATTTCAATATACAAGAAATTCCATGTACATATATATATATACGTGATAAAACAGATTTTTGTTTCAGTTTGAAACTAGATTTGGAAATGCAAAAGATTGTGAGACATTATCTGAAACATTCAGAAGATTTGGTTTTACAGTTACACAGTTTAATAACTTAACTGAAGATAAAATACTTACAAAATTAGAAAATATTCCAAAAGATTTTGGTACTAATTATGATTGCATTTTTGTATGCATTTTAAGCCATGGTTGTAAAGGTAAAATTTATATAAGTATTATATTATATACAATTTATTAATTATTAATCGTTATTAATTCTAGGTGGTATTATTAGTGCAGAAGGAAAAGAAGTTAGTATTGAAGCAATTGAACATAAATTTTGTTGTGCCGAATTAGAAGATGTTATTAAAGTAATTATTATACAAGCTTGTCAGGGAAATGTGAAAGGTTATCTTAATATTTATATTGATAAGTTATAACTATTATATAGGTTGATAGGTTAAAATTTTTAATTGTATATACAGAATAATTTTAAATTGCAGGACAAGTAAATGTCGACGAAACAACTAATTTGACTACAGATGGTCGTACAGATTGTAAAAGTTTGAATATTTTACCATACAAAAATTTCTGTATATTTATGTCAACTATGCAGGGTTTTATATCTGTACGTCATAAAGAAGAAGGTAATACATAATTATCTTTATGTTATATGTTAGCACTTAATATATTTATTATTGGTATTATTATTAGTATTTACTATTGTTATTATAGATCATAAATTTTTATTTTATAGGATCTTGGTTTATCCAAGAATTTTGTAATATTTTACAAAATGGAAAAAATAAAATTACATTCTTGGAAGCTATTAGGAAAACAATTTTTTCCGTAATGAAAAAGAAAGGAAAGTTAAATGAAACAAGTTTCATTGCTCAGTTACCCGAATTAAAAACATGCAGATTGCTTACGGATTTTCAATTACCAGACTATCAAGAACACATATAAAAAGAGAAGGACAATGTTATTAACTATTTTATTATGTTTTATAAAGAAGACAAAATATAATGTTTATATGTTGTTTATATATTGTATAATTTATGCAATAAAAATTATTGACAGTTAATTTCTCTTGTTTCTTGTGTTTCTGTTTACACATGCATCAATTAGAACACGAATAACAAAGAAATAAATAATTTCGACAATAGACATAAAACTAAATCCAGCGAAAACTCCTAAAAGACCGCCAAATGTAGCTAAAACAAACATTAAGTTTACCATTACCATCATTATTAACATTATTATTAATTAATATTATAATTAATATTATTATTTGAATTTGAATTTGAAAAGAATAATTGATAAATTATACCAAATAAATGACGCCAGTTGTAATGCATTTCTCTTCGGTATTGAATAGACACTAGGTCTCCGAAAAATATATGAATCGCACTTTGATTCTTCCAAGTTTTATCTTTTCTACAATGAAAGATATATATTCGTAATAAGTATTTCTGATTATTTTTTTTAGTATTTTAACAATTTGTTTTAATATGATAATAAAAGATGTCATTTTCTATTAAAACCACTTTAGAAAAATATGTAAATAATTCATTTACAAATATCCAATGCTCCTTTCAACTTATACTATATGTACTATTGAAAGTTTTTAATTAATATCTTACTGCAACATTTCAAACATTTTATGAATATATTCCTTAATAAAAAAAATCGATCGAATTACCTGGGATAAGTATAAGTAAGACCTTTATCAAGATCTCCTGCCGAATTCTCTATGACATAACGATAAAAATTACAATCGGGTGTACAGGCACAAGGTCTCCCGTAACCATTCAAGTTTACATGCGGTAAAGCTTTGGGCGACATATCCATTCCCGGCCAAGAGGTATCATACCAAACTAAAATTTAATTTCATTATCTTTCAGAAGATTAATAACAATTGCGTGTGAATATCTGATGCTTACATTTGTATGTTTCCAGACATTCAACGTCTCTCAAATCGCACACTCTGGTCTCTATAACAGAATATTACTCATATTGAAGCCAATAGATAAGAAAAAAAGGGTGGAAAAGAATTTGTAAATTTTTATTCTTTTTTAATAGATAATTTTTGTACGCTGTATTTTAGAATATTTCGCAAGTTTACGAGATATTTTACAAATACTCGTTACTTATTAAGTATAAAATAATATAAAGTTGCGTTTGGAGAGAACTAACTGTTTTGCGGATAATAGTACGGAATGCATCCACATATATTCTTAATTAAAGATGCTCGACAGTTTGTCAAACAATTTATGAATGAATATTTGACGGGAACAATGTGTCCATTCCAATTGTTACCAATAATCTCGTTTGCTTCGCTGTGAAATATGCATTGTCTCAAATTGGGATCTAAGTAGGTGATATCAGTGGCTGAACGCATTTCTACGGGTTTGATGGACAAAAATGCATATTTATTCACGCCTATAAATTTGCTCGGCGCATCGTAATCAGGGTAATCGTAAGGATCGTGTAGCATGATCTGTGAAAACATAGTAGAAATTATAAGATTAAAACAGTTATATAGTTTGTAAAGCATATAGTTTCAGATGCGAGATATTTCATTTTGCAAATACATTTTCATCTCGTGGACGTATTTTACAAAGATCAGTAGCTTTTAAAGAAAAAAATCGTGACAAAAGATTATAATTTCAAATATTTCGTTTCTTCAAAAATTCATGCGATAATATATACCTTTACTCCTACAGATTCCATAATACCGGCATCATAATTTTCGATGTCCAGATTGAGCACCATACTGAGTCCACTCTGATATCCACATGAAGTCATTTTACATGGTTTTGTACTTGAAAGAAAAATTAAAAACAGAAAAAATTCGTAATTCAAACGATAATATACGTAAATTTAGACATACTTTGGCTCTTCCACAATCAAGTCGTAAGTAATATAATTAAAACTGCAACATACTCCATCGCGGCTGATACTTGGTCGAAAAATGCTACTACAGTCTTTCGTCTTCGACTTCCATTTACACGAGACTAGGAAATTTTGACAACTTTGCGCAACCTGGAATTGAATTTCATTTTTATTGGAATATTATATAATAATTCTTTTCTCATGGCATTTTATTTAATAATGTTATAAGTAGCTAATTCTCTACGTACTGAGTTCATGATTGTTGGTATTGAAAGCTCGTTCATGTCGAAGATGTTCTGCAATTGCGACAGATTATTTCGAACGTGTGAGCCGTATATACCAGGGTATAATAATTCGTTCAATAATTTCATTTCTTGAGTTACGAATTCCTTCGTCACGGCGGCAGGGAGTGTTCTACACAGTAAAGATAAGAAAACATCATATGTATCGTTTAAATGAATAAGTAAAACTATAGATAAACGATGACAGAGTTCATCAATAACAAGAAATTAAGAACGTTTCATCGCAATGTGATAAATGTGAAATCACAAATCATCAACTGACCTTTTATTATCAGTTCGTGTAACTTGATATGTGATAATGACAAGAAGCTTAATCAATAAATAATTAATGTAACGAAGGTGAAAAAGAGAAAAAATACTCACAAGTTCTCGACGAATTTCTGCGTTAGATTAAAAGATACGCGATTGATATCGCATACAGTGATCGCTGGGAACGGATAATTCCATATTCCATTATGGGTCGTTTCGATGACCGAGAGGACAAAATGTTCCGCGAAAAAGTTCAAAGTACCCTTCAGCAATCCGAGCGCGATACAAAGGGATGAGACCACCATTATTGCCCATGCGATTCTGCCGAAATGAATGCGAAATGAGCATCGCTGCGATTACATCGCGGCTCCATTTAATTGGAACAAGGGTGAAATTAAGTTCTCTTAATGATACACACCTACTTCTAATCTACACAAATACAGCAGTTTAATCGGTAAGCTAAATGAATTTTCGAATTCGCGAGTTAATGATTTTTCGAATCATTTGCAGATCGTACATTGTTTTGATCATTTATCTACACGTGCTTCCTTTAATACTCAGTTATGTGGATAATCGTAAAATAAAGTAGATGAAAGAATTACAAAGATATGTACAATGTATTGTATGTAAAATACTAGTAATAAAATATTAATTAAAAATCAATATTTTGTTTTAGAACATAGTTATGTTGCTCTAGACACAAATATTATATTTATCTATTTGCCTCTATAACAGGTTGATAAAATAATGATTAAGTTGCTTACCTTTCTATCATAGGACGTTGGGTATCACAAATATATTTGCAACCATGGAGTCCCGTCTCGCGACAAAATTGCGAGATGTATTTTTTTAAAGTGTAAAATATTTTTCGTACAACTTTTCTCAAAATACTGATAAAATTCCGCTTTCGTATATGTCTCATGTTTTTAACTCAATGAAAGCTTAATTTTCCTATCAATTTTTAAATAAATTTCATGTAAAAACTGCATGAACTTTTCCTTCAATTTGATTTATTTGTTTTATTATTATTGATTCAGCGTTGGAAATAGTACAGCGAATGCAATTCGATTAAAAGTTGCAAATAAATTATTTATAATTCTGGAAAAAATTGGAAAAATACCTCGATTAAGAGATTAATTAGATTGATTATTTAAATTTCAGTTTTAATATTATCGTTTAATTATTATTATATATAATTAAATGGATTTCAATGATTTTAACCACGTAGCGTTGAAGATACGACTATCGAGTGAAATGTAGCAGTACAGCAGCTCCCACACTTGTATTAAAGAACGAACATGATACGATGCATGCGATGTCGTGTAAAAAATTCATTTCGTTTTTTTACTGATTATTCTCTGATAAGTATTTAGATGTTACGATACGAATTTCCAAGCCTTTAGTTAAAAACGATTTTCAACCAAGCGGCCGATAGTACATTATTAATATTAAATGCATACACCATTTACGCATGAGAATTCATAGAAATAATTAGTATACCTATGAAAAAAACTTCATCGTTATTTACCGCAATTAAAAAAAAAAATTACAAATGATATGCAACATGTATATTAATTCATTCAATGAAATAACAATTTTCAATTAGGTATACGTCCGTACAAATTTATACCACAGCATCGTAACTGTGATAATTGTGAAAATCGTATGCAGCGTAATTTGCAAGGATATGAAGGATAGAAATTGCAAAACTACAAGACAACATGTACTTTATTTCGTAGGAAACAAATCAATGCTGCGACTGTTCGAACGCTGACGGATAAGAGCGACTTTCAGCTTCTATCTCTTTCATCTCATCCCGATCTCTATCGCGAAATTTCTTCCGAGCTGGTATCGCGCGAAGTAGAAGTATTCCTCCTCTTTTTTTTCTTTTTTTTCCTTTTTTTTTTTTTTTTTTTTTTTATATTCGAACCACTTGTCCGCGGTGCTCGTGCGAAATGAAAGCGTGCTCTTTGCCGCGAACAGCGGCGACACTCGATTCTTCGGCCAGGGTGAAGGATATTGGAGGCGAAATGCCCCGGCCCGGTCGTCACCACGAGTGTTCTACTCGAGGCCAGTGGCGGAACGAGTAGTCCCCGCGGCCGAGTAGTCGGCCGAGTGACTCGATTCCTCGGATATTAAACTCTGAAGATGCCGCACTTCGCCGCGGCATCTGACTCAGCGAGTGTCATTAATAACATGGAGAAGATAGATAAAGTGCTAAACACCGTGAGCGCCGTGTGCTTGAGCACACGTCATTACCCTGACTACCGAACAACTCGATTAAAGGGTTTCTAAATGCATCGACCTTGTCGAGGTCGCCTACTTGCCCACCCGCTTTTCAAAGGGGACTCTTTTCGCAGAGAGAATCTTTTCCCCGCTGATTGATCGATCGGTCGCCGATAGAGGCGAAAAGTTTCAAAATTAAATATAGTGATCGTGTGATTTCCGATCTTTGCTTTTCTTCTTCGCCATTCAGGCAGTTTCCCTTTGCTGAAATCTCCAGATGTCTCCTCAGCGGCAGAATAATTTGTTTCATATTTTCTCATTTCATATTATTATTACGTTTAGTCGAACTCTTTTGAGTTAATTTTTTTACTGACCATCACGTATTCGCGATCACGTGGAAGACTTAACATTGTAAGTATTATATAGACGGAGTGTACATATATAAATATGTGGCTGTTTATTGGAGAGTTTAATTTTGCAGTAGAAACGTCCGTACGTGAGCAGCCGGCTGATCCTACAGTAGTACGTACGTTTGCTTGAACGGCAGGGAACTTTCAGTAACATATTCCAGTACGTGTCAATCAATAGCATAATTTGTCCCCGGGTTTGTTATCCGTGGGAATAATTATTAAAAGACGAGTATTTACGAGTGTTTACGTATTTATCGAAACAAATAAAGAAATTAAATTTGAATAGAGATTAACAAAGTTTTATTGAACTCTCATTAAATTAAACCTTATTATTCATACTTTATTATACTTATTTATACTTTATTATTATTTATTATTATTATACCTTATTATTTATTTATACTTATAATTATTTATACCTTTTTAATTAAACCTTCGATTATTCATAATTACCGATCATTTAAGGGACGTAAGTTAACATCCACGTATAAAATGATTGCTTTCAAAGGTAGAAATTCTACCCTTCTTCGTCGGAAGGATGCGATTTTCAACCTGCTGATCGCGAGGAATCGATGCGATATCTTTATCCCTGTAAAGAGATCGGAAATTTAGTAACTTGTGTGTTCCAGTCTCGGTGGTATGATATATGTATGCCCCGTATATTGATATAATCCAATATTAGGGTGATTTCGCGGCACCCCAGCTTCAACGACACGAAGAACTTTCGTTCCGCGGAGGGCAAATGTTTTAAATCGACGGGCAAAGATCGGAGGGAAGAAAGGCTGGTATTTGGCACCACCCCTCCAGCTCATTTCTCGCCATTTTTAAACGGTTCTGACGGCCGAAATGGGAAAACTTAACAAAGAGCAATTTTGGAAAGCAACGCGCCTCGCTTGTGTATCAATTCACGGATAAACGAAATTGTTAATTCGAAATGATACGTTAAAAAGTCAGTGAAGATTATATCGTGAAAGTAGCGTAATTACGATACGGTATTTAGTTAATATTCTGTCATTATTATTATTAATACATTACGTATCCATAATCACATAAAAAAGATTTTATTTAAGAGGAAAAAGGCAGGTATTTTTTTAGTTAGAGGCAATAAAGAAATATTGATTAAATTTTACTTGAAATTATTTATTATCATTAGACACAGGAGTTCATCACGTCAGAGTTTATCACAACACTATCAGCGTGATAAATTTTGATTTATTGTCAAATGATTATTATGAATTTAAAATTGTAGATATAGAAAATTGAAAAAGATCGAAAATCAATATATACTTACCTACATCCTGCTTAAACGAGAGATATAACTAACATAATATCAGTACTATTATCAACGATAATTAAGAGACAAATAACAGGCGTAACAAACGAGACATAAATTTAATGTCGATAAATCGACGCGTTAGGGTATCAAAGGCTTCTCGATGTGTACGTGCAGTACGGTAATTTTAATTATGAGATAGTTCACTCCGATGTTCACTCGGTGCCGTGCAGAGAAAATTACTGCACGTGGAAAGGGTGATTTCGGTGGATGGGGTAACAATGTATTATGTGTCCCCCTGTCAACCTCTCGCGTTAACCGCAAACCCCTTCTATTCACCCCCAACAATTCGTTAACTGCTATCGAATTGACTTTAACCGCCGTAAGTTGAAAGTGCAACCCCGTTGCCTTTAACAAAAGTTGACAATCGCCCCGACGAGACGCTGGTAATTGCATTTTGTTCCTTTCAAAGAAATCTATAGAAATTTACAAAATAGATATTACATTAATATGTATTAATGTAGTTGGCTGTCTTACAATGAACATGTTATATCGAACAAATGTGAAAAAAATACAATTTATAAATTTACATATTGCAATTTAGATATAAGAAAATATTGCAAATTTTTAGGCTTTTATTTTTACGTGTTTCGCGTTAAAAGTGTATGTGCTATCCTATACTGAACGAAATTTTGCCTTTGAATCTGAATGAGATGCTTATAATTTTTTAGAAAGCAAGAAATAACAAAGCGAATATTCTTCAACGAAAAAAGAAGAAAAGAAAAATGAACTAACAATGATCAAGATTGACAAATGATTGAAAACTTAAAGACGTTGAATCGAAAGAAATTGTTCTTATGATATAGGTACCGGCAATAAAATTAACCACGTGGGAGGATTTGAAGGGGCGAATTGTTTAAAACTGCCCCGTCGCGTGTGAGCCCTCGTTGTCGAGAATAAAAAGAGGTTATAGATATGAAGAGTTCCGGGGGATTTGTAGCCATCTATACGGCATCTGTATTGTAGAATCGATGGGAAGGGAGGCGACGTATTTCGCGGAACATTGAACCCCATGGACTTTAAAATACACCCGAAACCGAATCTGTCTTTCTCTATGTATACTCTGAAATTTTCTCTTTCCGATCTATATACTCACTACCGATTTTTCCCGATCGTATAACGTCACCCTCGTGTCGCAGTTTCTCTTATCCCTTGAGTATATTAATTTAATATATTATAAATGTCGTATAAATAATTACGCGAATCATCGTAATTATTATCTAAAGTTTAAAAATTCTCATTTTCAAATATGAGAGGCAAAATACAATTGTCGAACCTCGTGCATCAAATGAAGAAAAATTTTAAATGTAACTATGTATGCTGAAATAACACAATCCTTCGCTTCTTTTTCATGAAGCAAGGAACAACGATTCTTTTACTTTAACAAATAACAAGAAGAATTAATTTATATTCAAAGAATAAATCATCCCAAAATCTAAAATATCGAGGAAAACTTATTGCTAAATGCTTGTACATTTCGAAAGCGATATTATTAAAATAAAAATCACCGAGTCTAAACGCGTTGGCAACACGTTTGTCGATTAATCTTAAAGAAATATAAAAAAAAAGCCTGTGAATATTTTCGATTTGATATGTCAATTAAGACATACGGGGAAATCTTATCTATCGCTATGTGCGTTCAGCGCACGAGAATGCGTAAAAGAAGGGAAGCACATAGAGGGTAGTACATAGGACGCATACATAGGGGTTTGCACGCCGGGAGAACTTTATGGGGGCCCCAAGTATATTTCCTGATTGAGCGGACTAATCCACGCAAAGGAGGTTTTATCGCCGAGGTATACGTAATCGAAGGGGTCTCGTCTCCACGCGAATGTCGCGCAGAGAAGTAACGTCAGTATCAAGTAGTTCTACGAAAAATTTACTTAGCCGTGTGCATCGAATATCTTTGGAATATAAAACTCGATCTTGCCAATTTGAATTCCTTTGAAACTGCAAATGCCTGCTAAATTTTAAGATTAAGAAATTTCGACATCTCTTATGAACGATATTAGAATTTTATATTCATAGTGTTATAGAGGTCCATAAAAACCAAAGATCTGCAATCTTACAGTCGTGTTATATTCATAGCTTACTACTGAATATGCTGAAGAACATCTTTAGGAAAACTTCGTTCAGAAGATGTACTGTAGACTACAATCGATAGAACTAAGATATTTATAAGACTCATCTTGTAAGATTCCAGTACTATAATATCTTTTCTAACACGAGATTATAGATAGTTCGTCCAGGAGATTTTGAGAATCCTCGTAGAATCTCGTCGAACAGGATTATGATGGAATCTACACTTTCGTGTCGTAGATATCGAGATCTTTTAGAATTTCAAGGCTTGTCGATGATCAGAAGATTATAGTTTACTATCTCAATTCTCAGTTTAAACTATTTCATAAAGATCGATCCCTAGATCTTGTAGTTACAGATTTCGAGTTCATCAAATTTGTGAGGATCTATAGTCTTCTATCTGTACTTTGATCCTGTGGTAGTTCTGTCTATTAACAGATTTATGGTAGATTTATAAATCTCGACGATAGTTGTAAGAGACATTTATTTTTTCCTTTAGATCTAATCTGCAGAATCATAGTCTACGACGTCATACATAGTTGGTTTACGATATCTATAAAATTATCTTCGATTGTTTACAAAAATTCCATAGATCAATTCTCTCCTCTCGGACTATTTCAACAAAAATCGACACGCATTACGATTAGCTATCTCCGTTATCTTCGTTCCGTTGATTACACATTTAACAATACTAATGTATTGCACACAATCGAACGAGGCTTGTCACTTTCATTTCAAAGTTCGTATCAGCGACCAGTTGAAAGAAACCGGTGTGCCGAACTTTCCTCTGACGAACTTTTCCTCTGATCGAAGTCGACGACGAAGTTACCATCGAAATGGACAATAACGAGGGAAGTCTGGAGACCCGTGGAACGTTTATGCAGGATTCTTTCCAGGATCCTCCCCCCTCCCGCCCCTCTCTCTGCCCCGTTCTGCCGTAAATACAGGACGCACAACTGTACTATCGCGGGAACAATAAAAATAGACCTCCCGGTTACTATCAGGCCGCAAGTTACGATTAAAAGACCGAGCCGCAGACCCGCCCAGGCCATGTCTCGAATTCTCCAGTTTCCAGGAAGACGAAGAAGAAGGGGATTCGACAGGGGTGCCAGTGGGGGCCAAAAGGCCAACTGCTCTCGAGAAGGACTAGCCTCTCGCTAGGTTTACGCTTATCGTAAACATCGCCGCAGACAAATCTCCAGTGGCAACCCGCTCCAACCCGTACTGGGGAATCTGTGTGCGATAGCGGCGCGGAGAAATCGCCGACGCGATGCGACGAAATCGTAAATACGAGCTGGGGATGCCTTGACGAGAACGAACGAGTACGTGAGTACGTGATCCCCTGATGATTTCTCTCTGGCTGCACGTGAGTCTAGAGGATGCTGATTAGTTCGAGTACGAATGCGTATTTTTGTGAATGCGTGATGCATGGAGTAACGAGTGAAGATCGATAATACACGTCGAGTGGAATTATTACATCGAAGAATCGAGAAAGTAAGTCTCTCGCTGTTGTATATTTACCAGACAGATTGCAATTGCGTATGTGGATATATAAATTCATAATTATAATAATAATTATACGTGGAAAGGTCGCTGGGGCTAGAATATCGAGCGCAGCTCGTCAATTGATTGATAAAATGTAAAAGATTCATTGACGCTTGAATTTCGTCGTTTAAACAACGTCATGATGATTTGCGAACGGATCAATTTACTAGAATTGTACAGAATCATTCTACACAGTCAGTTAATCTGATCTTAAATTTAATTAATTAAACCAACGTTAATTCCCGTACTTGCACTATCTGTATCTAGATCAGAGAGCGAGGTACGTGAGAATTCTGATCCAATTTTCCAATAAAAGCGGCAAAAAGGGTGTCGGCTAAGCGGTCAGTCCGGGGCACTGGTTAATGTGTAGACACTTCGTGTTCACGGCTGTATCAGGGCAAAGAATGAATATTCAACAGTAAACACGAGTGGCGGTTTGCAAAGGGTTCGCGAGAGGGTTGTACGTGGAGATAGAGAGAAGGGAGAGCAAGGTGGTTCACGGTGGTTTGGCCAGTGCCACGGGGGAGATCTGCCGTGACTTGTGCAGATATAAAGCCGTGGCTACGCTTGAGAGGGACATTGTTTACGATATTACATCTGTAATACCGGTCAAGTGGCCAGTGTCCAGCGGTGTTCCGTAATCTCCTCTGTGCCAGGACTTTGTTCTCTGACCAGATACAGCACGTCGAGCTGCTGCTCCAGCCTGCTCTGGTAATGGCCAGTGGCCTCGTAAGTGCATTAAGGATAGTAAGCTGGTTTAATACGTTCCTCAAGTATCTGCTGCAGTATGCATGTATCCTTGTTGCCTATGCAGCGTTACACCCGGATGTTGTATTTTCAGCGTTATCAAAAGCCGGGAATAAGCTCGCGAAAGTAGAGCTCAAACATTCATCGTAAATGGATGCTTTTATGCGCGAAATATTTTTCAACGTTTTATCAACACCGCATTAAGACACGATTCTCATTAAGGATACAAGTCTGAAAGATTGAGGTTTTTTGATATCGTAGCTGTTTACATACTTATATTAAACGTGTTATAATATCTACATACACATCTCTGATTCATTTCAAATATATTGTAATAACTTTTTACATAGTTTGTTATAACTTATTATTGAGAAATATTATCGAGAGATAGCAGTACTTCATACTAAAACTCAATGAAGAAAGCAATAATAGTAATTTTACGACAAACATCATAAGAGTGACATACTCACGTCACTGATGATTCTCAGCCCTTAATATATGCAGAAGAAGATCCTATAAATCTACAAATACATTCGTGAGCTTGTGAAATATCCCGAGAGTCTAGAGAGTAAATGAGCTTCTACTCGAGCGTACGTGATCAAATGAATGACATTAACCGCAATCAGAATTCTTACATTCGGCTTCTCCTGTAACTCGCAATTTACTGTTAATTAATACAGCGATTTCACCGATACCAACTGTCCGCCGCAGAAGTCGCTGGCCGAAGGACAAACATCTCCGTAGCCTGGGGAGGACGATGTTTTGATTCTGGCTGTTATAGGGAAGACATATATCACTGGTCCACCCCATTGCTATAGATGCCAGTAGTTAGGGTGGCGATGCTGGGCCCCGAATGGACACACGGCGATTTATTGCCACGTTCGATATATATGATTATTTAAATCTTTTTCAACTGCCGTGGTCATTCAACATTTTCAGCCCGTTCCACTTTAAATTCTCTATCTTATTTATAAAATAGAGCATTCTACAATGCACGCAGCGTTTGACATATTTTGAAGTAAATACTAAATTTCAATATTTTAATATTTTAGTATTTGTAAAAACATTTTCGAATTCAT